CGACCATGCCCGAGCCGGCCAAGTCCGCGCCCGCCCCGAAGAAGGGCTCCAAGAAGGCGGTGACCAAGGCGCAGAAGAAGGACGGCAAGAAGCGCAAGCGCAGCCGCAAGGAGAGCTACTCGGTCTACGTGTACAAGGTGCTGAAGCAGGTGCACCCCGACACCGGCATCTCGTCCAAGGCCATGGGCATCATGAACTCCTTCGTCAACGACATCTTCGAGCGCATCGCGGGCGAGGCGTCGCGCCTGGCGCATTACAACAAGCGCTCGACCATCACGTCGCGGGAGATCCAGACGGCCGTGCGCCTGCTGCTGCCCGGCGAGCTGGCCAAGCACGCCGTGTCCGAGGGCACCAAGGCCGTCACCAAGTACACCAGCTCCAAGTAGACTCGCGAGTAAGCGCCTGACTCCTAACCCCAAAGGCTCTTTTCAGAGCCACCCACCTGCCAAGAAAGAGCTGGTGTGCTTTGCCTTTCCGGGTTGTGTGTTGGGGGAAACGGGGTAGTGATCTTGGGAGGACATTTTAAAAAGTAACATTTTAGGTAAATTTGGTGTTTAACATCTATTCAGACTGGAATAAGCACATTTTAAAACTAGTCTTAGCAATTCACCTCCAGCCAGGCAATCTAACTTTGACCTGTAGGATCTCCATCCTGTCTCCACAGCAGTGGTTTCATTTGTAGGACCAAGTGGTTATTGCCCTTCTGGTGACATAAGATGCCAGAATGAGAAAGACCCTCCACCAAAGATAGAGACTAGGCTCACCAGCAACATTTGCTGCAATAACAGGAGGAAAACTATCAATCATAACGTGCAGACAGAAGAGGAATTTAATCAAAGTTAAAATCAGATGGAGGAGTTTTGTTACAATGAAATACCCGTGTGGGAAGAAGCCCAGTGGGGGTAGATCTGTAAGGGTAATGCCTAATAGAGACCTGAGTAATCCAGGAGCCAAAACAAAAGGCTGCTGTGTGGCTTCTCCACACACAGCTCTTCACTTCTCTGCCACGAAACACACCTATGATCTTGGGCTCCAGAAAATGAACAAAACAAAGGGAAGAAGTCATTTCTTTCCAGAATCAATGATGCTGCTGTTGGAGTAAGTGTGGGGGGGCTGAGGAATTTTGTTATGGATGGACAGTCCTCTTCAGGGAGTTCACTCTCTGCTTGGTTTTAGTTTCAGTTCTGTCTCTTCTGATGAAATGGTATCCCTGTGGCTTCGTTAAGATTTTAAAACTTCAACAGCTCCAAAATACTTGGATTTGTGAAGGCAGATGGCTCCTTAAAAAAAAATAACTATATTGATGATTCCAGTAAGGACAATCTCTAATTTTCAAAGAGCTGAACAGGGACTAACTAAGGTGTGGGGATCACCTTGTAACATGCTGTCTGAGCTGGCTTCCTGGGCTTGTGAGTTGGGCAGCTGCACAGGGTCCTGCACTCAGAAGAGCCACATGTTTGTTTAATGCTCTGCTGTCATTTATCTTCTTAGTTTCCCTCTGGGATGTCACATATCAGAAAAATTAAGATTATTTTTTGCTTGTTTCCTGAAAATATAACATTTCCCAGGCATCTGTCTGTGGCAACAGCATGGTAAAGATTTTATTCTGGTGCTTGGTTTGAGTGTTGTTTTAGTTTTGTTTTGTTGCTGGCTTCTGTTTAACCTTGGTATTAGGATTAACTCTAAATCTACCCTGAACCTCCTTCAAAAGCTCCCCCCCCCACACACACACACACATTAATGCTTTGGCACTATGGTGACAATTCAGTTAATTATCTCAAAAAACGGCATAACTTAACTACTGAGACTATCTTTTTTAATCATGTCCTTAATTCAAAGTTGTTCCACCTTTGAAACAATGTTTACTCTTTGAAATAGACTTTATTCTTAGAGTATTTTTAGGTTTACATAAACATTGTGCAGAAAGTACAGAGTTCCCATATACTCCCCTTCCTCCACTTCAGAATCTCTCCTATTATTAACATCTTGCATTAGTGTGATATACATTTGTTGTAATGGATGAACCGATATTGATACATTATTACTCCCTAGAGTCCATAATTCATATTAGGGTTCATTGTGTTACACAGGTCTATGGATTTTGACAAATGCATAATTACAGTACATACGGTAGTTTCACTGCCCTAAAAATCGCCTGCGGTCCACCTATTCATCACCTATTCGCCCCCCAAATGCCTGGCAACCATTGATCTTTTTACTGTCTCTCTGCATTTCTCATTAAGTCAAATCATTGCAAACTTTTTAGACTGGCTTTATCAGATATGTGCTTTGCAAATGTTTTCTCCAGACTGGCTTGTCTTTTCATTCTTTTCAATGGTCTTTCACAGAGCAGAATATTTTAATTTTAAAGCAGTCCAACTTACCAGTTTTTCTTTCATGGGTGATACTCTTAATGCTGTATCTAAGAGTCATCACCAAACCCAAGGCCACCTACTTTTCTTCTAAGTAATTTAGAGAAGTTTTATAGATTTATATTTAGGTCTGACATATCATCCCCTTGAGTTAATTTTGGGGAAATATGTAAGGTCT